TGGAGACCATTGCTCGTAAGAATGAACTTGCTGATTAGAATGGAACAGCTTTATCGATCCCAAAACACCTTCCGCTTTTGTCTGTACAGGCACGATGGCATGCTGAACAAGTCCATATCCTCACAATCGCAGGGTCGTCATTCATCAAGAACCAAAAAGGGTTTCCCGTTTTGCCCAAGGCGCACCAGGCCATGATTGCTCGCATGATGCAGCTCCGCATCCCACCGTGGATTATTCTTTGCGATGTTGGCCCGATTCCCGGGCTTGAGATTGGTAAATCGGGCTCTGAGACTGATTCGACCCCCGGAATCAGCCCCCGAATTGAAGCTGAGGAAGCCGATCCTACCCCCGCGGAAGCGCACCGGAATTTCAGATCTGGGTCTAATAAAAAGAATTTTGACCCAACCCCTCACCTGTCTTATATGAGAAATCTCCAGCAGAAACAGCCTGCTCGGACTCCTATGGAGCGATTTGGAGTTGGATATCAAGATTATTTACAGGCTCCACTCCAGCCCCTTACCGTTAACTTGGAAAGCATAACTTACGAGGTGTTCGAGAAAGATCCCATTAAATACGAATGGTATGAGCGTGCAATTGCCAAGGCTTTGAAAGACTGGGCGGAACAGGGAAAGCCAACCTGCCATCCAGAAGGCCATGTGGTGCTTGCTGTAGTTGGTGCTGGACGAGGTCCCTTGGTCACCCGAGCTATTCGCGCGAGTGTTGAAACAGGCGTGGCCATTGAAGTTTGGGTTGTGGAGAAAAACCCTAACGCCTTCGTTCTGTTACAACGGCATAACGAGGGTTTGTGGGGTGGTTGTGTGAACTTGGTGAAATCAGATATGCGCAGTTGGAAAGGCCCGCACCATCTGGCTCCTGAGTCTGGTAGGTACTTCCCAGCTGTATTGAAGAGGAGAGAGTAGCCATGGATCAATTGCTTAAAAAAACTTGCAGGAGATTCCGACGAGCCACCCAAAATTATCCACACACCAATAGATATATTAGTTTCAGAGTTACTGGGGTCATTTGGAGACAACGAACTATCTCCTGAATGCTTGGATGGCGTCACTCACCTGCTCAACCCTGTCCATGGGATTTCAATCCCAGCCTCATACTCTGCACACCTTTCCCCAATTTCCTCTCCACGCCTCCATGCGGATATAGCCAATCAATCAATCACCAACCCAGCTGCGCCAGAAACACCTTACGTCGTTATGCTACATGCGTTTGATTTCCTCTCCACCCTCCAAAAACCCGTAGAACCCAAGAAAAGTGCCAGCGCCAGCAAACCGACAAGCGAGGGAGGAGGTAATGGAGGAGGCCAGAGTACTCAGGGCGGTGGAAACACCTCGTCGCCGCGCCCCAGTGAATCCCCAACACCAATAATAAAATCAGCGTGGTCATTCTCGCACCCCAACATCAACGCGCCGCCGCCTTCCCCAGTTTCATCCACAATCTCCAACGCGCACAACGTCCGACGAACCAGGTTAGCGTTCCCCTGTCGAGAACGGGGTACCTGCCATGGCCTCGCCGGCTATTTCGAGACCGTCCTGTATGATGATGTTGAGCTATCGACGAATCCAGTGACGATGGATGCCAAGAGTGCCGGCATGATAAGCTGGTTCCCGATTTACTTTCCGCTCAAGGTGCGTTCGAATTTATACCATTATTCAATCCTTTTTATACAAACATTCTCTCTCTACTTCTTCCCCCCTCCCAAAGAAAGAAAGAAAAACGACAAAACTAAAAAACAGGAAATCCACCACAGACCCCTCTCACCGTCCCCGCCAACTCCGAAATCGTCGTAACCATGTACCGCCAAACCGACAACCGAAAAGTTTGGTACGAATGGATCGTCGAGGTATTCGCGCGCGATACATTGTCGCCCCTACCAGCAACAACTACAAGCGGCGCATCGTCGCAGCCGCAGCAACCTTCCTCTTCCGCTTCCTCTTCCTTACCACATCCACCACCACCACCACCACCATCGCCATCACCATCATCAACGTCCCCGCCAGCCAGAGCTGAGAAAGGCACCGATGTCGACAAGGACAAAGCGGCCGGGGACTTCAGGAGAGTGCGTGTCGCGATGAGTGAGCTGCATTCTAGTATCAAGGATGGTTGTTTGATGTAATTTTGTGTGTTTTGCGGGTGATGGAAAAAAAAAGAAGGGGGAGGGGCGCGCCCACAATCCTGGGTACGGACTGGTATCTAATTTTATTCCATGAACATGGGTCCATACATACCTTGCGTTATTTTATTTTATTTTTTTTTTTTTTTAAAAAAAAAAAAAGAAAAAAGAAAAGATAAAGAAAAAGAAACAAAAATTCAATTCCGTGGACTCATTAGTTCTCTGGTCTGATCAGGGCCCGCTAATATATAGATACATTTGTATAATTACCCCTTGACTCCCTGTAACCAGCCTCTGTATATCATCTCGAGCCGCTCGCTCCTTGGCTGATTCGTACGAGCAATACCTAGTTAACCCCTGAATTGCGATGTTACACACAGCATCTCATCTACTGTCCTAACACAAAATCTAACATCAGCGAATTGCAAAGCGGTAATCGATCCTGCTGTGATATACTGTACTCTAAACCTAAACGTAACTACTATGATGTCTTTCCCTCTCCCAGCCAGTAATCTCACCGAGCAGTTCAACTAAATGATATTCCATGAATCTAACCTTTTCCTTTTCCTTCGCCATGACTATTACCTATATCCCGGAACCTCAGAAATCTTAAATTTATTAAGAATTAAGCGCGTCGAACGGTTTGGGCTGTCAGGCTTCCTGCTATAGTGAAATCCATTTCCCTTTGTCACCCCATTTTTTTTTCCTTCCCTTGGGTCCACATTGTTACAACTCGGCGGCATCATTAGCATTAGTTCCCGATCCGGTCACATTACTGTTACCACCACTCCTGCCACCGTGTCCATTCGACTCCTGCTTCTCCCCCTCCGTAAGTCCCTTCCGAATCGCAAGCACGCTATCGACAATAACGGCGTCAATGCCTTCTTTTACTTGCAACTATATTTCCCGAACATCGTCAGCATCTCCCAATTAGACAAGACTACCACTTCTTCTTCTTCCTCCCCCCCACCCCAGGACATGAGGAGAATGGGTTAAAATGATATAAGAAACCCATACCTTCACATTCTTCGGCTCATTATTTGCAATCCCGTACGAAACACAAACAAGACCAGACTCCTTCACAACCCTCACAAGCCGCGGCGCAATAATCAACGGCTCCGCCGCCGTCACAACCCCTAGTAAATTCCACCGAGAAGCAAATCGGATGGCTTCCTGCAGACTACTAGCGCGCACATCGCCCACCCTGGTGATGCCAGAGTCCGTCAGAAACATAACAGGGATCGAGGGCTGTTTGAAGGAGAGCAAGAGGCAGATGTCCGGATTAAAGGAGGAGAAGATCATGTTACGGCCCTGCCCTAGGTCATAGACCTTCGTCAGTACAGTGTCGACAAAAGAGTTTAGCTCAACGGCATAGGTGTCCATTTCTTCTTCTTCGGATTCGTGGAGCATGGGGTACTCTTTTTTGTGTTTTTTGGTCAGCTTATCTATACCATTGTATGTTGGATACGTGTTGGGTGGTCTTTGATAAAAAAAATAAAAAAATAAAAAATAAAAAAATAAAAAAACTTACTCATTTCAATATTAAATCCAACGTCCTTTGGTAGCTTTTTGAATAATTCCTCCAACGTTGCGAATGGGGCTTGAATGTGGCTGCCACGGGAGTTCCCTTTGAAACCCTTTTTCTTGAAATCGCGGGTATGTTTCATAATTGCTCGCTCATGTGCATCGATGGCGTAAACCCTCACCAACGGACATCGGTG